CCCGTGGCCTTGGTGTTATCAGCACCACACTCTCCCGAGTGAGCCACGGGCCGGCCCAAGGGATATATATTTTTTAAAAACTAAACTCTAAATAGTTACTATAACTTAGTATTGGATTTAGCATTGAGATCCCAGGTTGTCAAACCAAAGAGGGAAACTCCTAGAATATCAGAACCAGACCTGAGAGACCATGTAGTTCAACTCTCTGTCTTTCTTGGAGAGTGAATCTGAGGCTCCTAGTGGTGTAGGCACATGCCCCAAGTCACCCACTGGTTTGGCAGTGGCAGAGTGGGGTAGGTCCCATCTTTTCAGCTCTGGAACCCAACTCTGGGCTCTTGATCTGATAAGAGGGATCCCTACAGGCCAGAGAATGTTTTTCCTGGTAACTTTGTCACGATATCAGGCAATGGGACATTGGCTAATGTCTTCAGCTGGGAATGGAAATCTACCCATGCCTGGCCTCCTATGACCTCTGGAAAAGGGCTTGGGCATGAGGTTTAACCCTGAATCAGGGACCTCGCCTTGAGAACTGCTCCTTTGGGCACTCAACCCTGTCTTTCCCTCCTTGTCCAGGACTATGTCCCTCAAAACACATTACCTGTTGAATACCTACCACATGCCAGACCTGTGCAGGGCGCTTTACATATGTCATCCCTTTGAATGCCTCAGTAGGCCCTGAAATGTCCAAACTCTCCTTCCTGTTTTACTTGTGAGGAAATTGAGGCTCAGAGAACTTTAGTCTCTTACCTAAGACAATGCAGCCAGAATAGGGCTCAGCAGGAGTTTTGACCCTGCAAGGCTTTGGAAGGCATTTCCAAGGACCCACCCTGGCCAGATCCTGCTGTTAGGAACTCAAGGACAGAAAGAGAATATGCCATTTTTTTCTAGAGTGGGTTGGCTCAGAAGCTGAGGAAGGGAAACCCAAAACCAGACAAACAGGGGAGCAGACAAAGACATAGGCTGACACCACCTGAGCCCTTTGCTGAGGGATAGAGGTGGAGCCAATACCCTGGCTGCCCACCACCCCAGTGACTTCACCCATTCAGGTGGCCCCTGGTTGGCCTGGGTTGACCCTGGGGGAAGGAGACTCATGGTTATAATTTGTCTTCATGGACTGATGACAAGGCAATAGTTAGTGGCTCCTTATTTAGTACTTAGACTGGGGTAGGGAAACTGAGTCTTGGGGTGGCTAGGGCCTTGCCTGATGTCACACAGCAAGTTAGTGGCAGAGCCTATAAATGAACTGAGGACTCCAGCTCCCATTCAGGGCTCTTGCCTGCTCAAGGGTATTCGGCTTACCCCAGACCACCCAGTGCGACATAGGACTTTACCTGTCACTTTTGCTAGCATATAGGCAAATAATTTATTGAGCACCTACTGTTATACTGGGAATTTTATGGGATGTGTTAAAAATGGCATCTCATTGAATCTGCAGAACAACCCCAAGAGTTATATAAGAGCCTTTGAGTTTGCAGACAAGGGCCCTGGCATTCAGAGAGGCCAAGGAACTCACACAGGNGAGCCTTTGAGTTTGCAGACAAGGGCCCTGGCATTCAGAGAGGCCAAGGAACTCACACAGGGTTGTATAACCTGTCACAGAGCCAGGGCCAAATCCAGGGTCCACTAGCTTCAAAGCTGTGTTCTCACTCACTTCCTAAGGAGGCTGTGGGCAGAAGGAGCCCCAGGCTGGGGGGCAGGAAGCTTGGCATTTTTCTTAGACCTGTTCTGCCTCAGTTTCCCAGTCTGTGAAGTGGCCTCAAAGGCTTTTTGTCTCAGCAAATTTTTGCTGACTCGGGCCCAAGAGACCTAGGTGTGTGGGATACTAGAGGGTCTCCCCTGATGTTGCCCCTGCCTCGCCTGGGCAGTTTGCCTTCAGGGACGACGTGCCGCTGGTGCGGCTGGAGGTGACAGATGAGTGGGTGCGGCCAGAGCAGGCTGTGGCAAGGTACCGCATGGAAACAGTGTTCGCCCGCAGCTCCTGGGACTGGATCGGCTTGTACCGGGTGAGAAGGACGGGGTGGATAGTGACTGAGGGAAGAAAGGGGCCTGGAGGAGCAGCTGGGAACCAAGGTGGGGTCACTGGCTTGTCCAGAGTTTGAGCCACACTGGGAGGCTGCTGGAATCAGGCATTAGGGGTCCCAACTCTGATTCCTTTCGCCCCAGGTGGGTTTCCGCCACTGCAAGGACTATGTGGCTTATGTCTGGGCCAAACATGAAGAC